AACAGTCTGGTGCAGTCTAGGCGTTGGGGACACTAGTGAGGCATTTTACTGTTGCTGCGTCTAGAAAACCACAAACCCTAAACCCCAAACCCTAAACCCTAACGCTAAACCCTAAACCCTAAATTCTATACCCTAAACACTAAACCCCAAACCCTGAACCCTAAACCCTAAACCCTTAACCCTAGCCGGCCGCTGCGAAGCGGGGATTAGCCGCGAGCTGGCGTTCAGCGGTGACTCTTTAGGGTTTAGGGTTTAGGGTTTAGGGTTTAGGGTTTACCTTGTAGGGGTAGTTTTTGCTGCCGAGAAAGACCAAATGCTCGAGAGTGTGGGGCAAACCCTCGTTGGAGTGAGTTTCAGTTTTGAAAGAAATAAATAAAGTGTTTATTGGAGAAGGAATGGAACAAAGAAAGACTCTGAGCGAGGTGTACGTACACCTGAACTCCCGCACGCAGCAGCAGCTGCGGGGCCCCACACTGAAGTGCTGCAGCAGCTCAAACCGCCGCAGCAGCTCGTCTTCAAACCCTAAACCCTCGCCAAACCCTAAACCCTCGCCAAACCCTAAACCCTCGCCAAACCCTAAACCCTCGCCCTTCTCCTTGCACACACGACACGGCACCTCCACGCCTCCCGAACACCACTCTCCGGGGTCCGCCATCTTCCAGTCGAGGGTTTAGGGTCTAGGGTTTAGGGTTTAGGGTTTAGGGTTTGCGACCTAGCCGCTAGGGTTTGGCGCTCCGAGCACAAAGAGGGCTCGAAACTCTTCTCCAGCTGAAATAAGGAAAATGACTCTTGCTCGGGTTTAGGGTTTGCGTTTTTTAGTCCCTAATTTAGGGTTTACTGCGACGCAAGCGCCGTCTAGGGTTTGCAGTTTGGGGTTTAGGGTTTAGGGTTTAGGGTTTAGGGTTTGGGGCCCGCAGCCCGCGGCTGCTAAAGCTGCTGCCCCTAAGTTTCATAACTATTCGCAATTTGTTTTATATCATTTCTAAACCCCAAACCCTCGAATTTCAAACCCTAAACCCTAAACCCTAAACCCTAAACCCTCATGTCCGGCAGCTCCCCGAGCCCGGGGGCCCCCGGGGGGCCCTCCCCCAAGGCAGCAGCAGCAGCAGCAGCAGCAGCAGAAACAGCAGCAGCAGCAGAAGACAAAATGACTTCACAGACAGCAGCAGCAACAGCAGAACTAGCAGCAGCAGCAAAAACAGCAGCAGCAGCGCCAGGAACTGCAGCAGCAGAACCAGCAGCAGCAGAACCAGCAGCAGCAGAAACAGCAGCAGCAGCAGAGCCAGCAGCAGCAGCAAAACCAGCAGCAGCAGCAGCAACAGCAGAAGCAGCAGTTGCTGCTTTTCATAAAGCTGTAAGAGAAGGAGATTTTGCTGCTGCAGCAGAGACACTCAAAACCCCAGAAAACAAATGGCTGGTCAACGCCATGGACAGCCACAGACGGTAAACCCTAAACCCTAAACCCTAAACC